GGGGACCCGAAGCAATTGGAGTATTTTCTGGCACAAGTATTCACCTACATGCAAATCTATGGGAGAACACTGCCTACTAATGTCGAGAAAGTTTGAGTGGTCACTCTGGCTCTGGAAGGTGGAGCAGCTGACTGGATGGTGACCCTATACAATTGCAATGCACCTGAATTGAGAAACTTCAATCGTTTTATGGCTGCACTCTGCTGGCGGTTCAAAGACCGGCTGACCGATAAGAAAGCCCAGGAGCGGATTAAGACAGTGAAGCAAGGAAGAAGACCAGTTGCTGAGTATACCAAGGAGTTCAGAGAGTTGGCCAGTCACCTGCGCTGACCAGAATACATCCTAGTAAGCTGTTTCCAAGATGGCTTCAATGAAGAGCTGTATAATGCCTGTGTAGCTCATGGAGCCCTGGGGCGGCTGTATGATTGGTGCCTCCTAGCTGAGGAAGTGGAGATTGATCAACGCAAGCATCTGCATCACCCAGTGAGACCAAGCTTCAAGCAGCAGACTGAGAAGCAAGGAGAGACCGCACGAGCTTCACCTGCCCCACCTCGCAGCACTGCCTGCTTCAAATGTGGCAAAGTGGGACATCGAGCTGTGGATTGCCACAACAAGACACCTGCCAAGAGAGGGGATGGACTACCAGCCAGGAGACCCCTGAGGACTCCATCACGCCCCAGGGAGACTGAAATGAGGTCTGAGGAAGTCATAGAGCTCCCCTGGGATCGCAATCGAGAGGGTCGAGCTCTGACTCCCCGCTATGATGATCCAGGAGCGGCAGAAGACAACTATGAGGATGACCCATTGGTGAGTGGGCCAATTGATCATAACAGTGTCTCTAGAACTCTCCATACCCGGCACAGGGAGGACAATGAAATTAGCAGCCCTGCTGGACTCGAAGTGCACCAGGTGCATGATTAGCCCAGAACTAGTCGGGAAAATGGGGATTCCCCTCAGGAGACTTAAGACTCCAATTAGTTTTTGCCAACTGGACAGCAGGGGGGTGCCTGCCAACTTTACCACCAGACCCTTATACATCGACCTGGGCAGCCACACAGAGACTTTAACGTTTATTGTGGCTCTGGGAATGGAGTGGCCATTAGTTTTCGGACTGGCTTGGCTAAAGTAGTGGAACCCCATGATCAACTGGAGGAAAGGGCAACTGAGATTCCCGCAAGGGGAAGCCCTGCACATCACTAAAGAAAATGGCAGGAGATGTGGATTACATCGTGATTTTGCCTCTGCCCTCAGTGAGTCAGACTTGCAAAGCCTCCCAATGTAATACCGAGATTTGGCTGAAGCCTTCAGCGAGCAGAGGGCAGATGAACTCCCCCCTCACCAGCCCACAGACTGTACAATTGAAATCATTCCAGGGTGAAATGAACTCAATAACTCCTAGGGAGTTGAACAAACTAGAAAAAAATATCAAAAAGAACTTAAAGCAGGAGTTTATCGAACCAGCCAGACCCCGGGAAGCAGGCCCTGTATTATTCAGAGAGAAGAAAGATGGCTCTCTTCATCTCTGCATAGATTATAGAAGCCTGAATGCTGTGTGCATGGAAAACATGTACCCATTACCTTTAATGAAAGACATATTAGCGCACCTATCAAAAGGAAAAAATTTCTCAAAACTGGACTTGAGAGAGGCTTATTATCGCATAAGAATAAAGAAAGGAGATGAGTGGAAAACTGCCTTCAATTGCCCATTGGGCTGCTTCCAAATTAAAGTTCTCCCATTTGGGTTCCAGGGGGCTCCCTGCAGTATTCATGCAACTGTTCAACAAAGTCCTACATGATCACTTGTATAAGGGGGTCCTAGTTTATATCCTTATTTACACCAGAACAAAAGATAAACACATTAAGCTAGTCAGAGTGGTACTGAAAAAATTGTGCTCTGCCAAACTGTATGCAAACTATCAAAATGTGAATTTCACAAAGATCGTATTGATTACCTGGGTTATCACATATCAAATGAAGGGATAGAGATGGACCCAGAGAAAGTGAGGGCAGTCTTGGAGTGGGCACCCCTGAAAACCAGGAAATAACTCCAAAGTTTCCTAGGATTTGCAAATTTCTACAGACAATTCATCCTATCTTTTGCATAAATTGCCCTCCCAATTACAAACCTGTTAAAGACCAGAGGGGGGATAAGCCAAAGCCCAGTCAACCATTAAAATGGACAGGAGAATGTCAAGCAGCTTTTGAGAAACTTAAGAGACCTTTTTCTATGGAGTTGGTTTTGAAACACCCAGACCCAGAACAACCCTTTATAATTCAGGCTGATGCCAGTGATGTGGCTGTGGGAGCAGTTTTGCTCCAAAGAAATAATGAGGGACAATTACAATCATGTGCTTACACCTTGAGGAAATTGTCAAGAGACTGAATAGAGGTGGGCAGCCTGGAAGAAAGAGGCCTACGCTGTATGGTGTGCTTTACTAACTTTGAGACATTTCCTTGAAGGAAATAAAATATCATTTCAAGTATGGACTGAACATAAGAACCTTGAAGCCATGAAAACACCCAGAAAATTCTCCCCTAAACAAGCAAGGTGATCCCAACATTTCCATTGTTTCAATTTTACAATTCATTACCTCCCTGGGGGAAAGAATTTTCTAGCTGATGCCTTGTCCAGGTTACCACAATATAACAGTAAGAAAGCAGAAGTGGCCAAACCATTTCTGCATCCTCATCAACTAGCGGCCCCTGTAACCAGGGCCAAATCAAAACCAATGGCTCCTGTTGGAAATACTTTATTACAGGAATTTAAAACTGCCTTAGAAACAGATGAATGGTTTCATAACCATAATAACCTGTGTGCGTTAAAAGATGGATTCGCATGGATTGGAGATAAACTTTATGTCCCAGCAGCATTGAGACTTAAAGAAATGCAAGCAGGACATGATTCAAAAACTGCTGGACACTTTGGTTTTGTAAAAACCTTACATCTTATTAAGAGACAATTTGGTGGCCTGCATTGAAAAAGGACATAGAAAGTTATGTGGCCAGCTGCCCCACATGTGTAGCAGCCAAGAAGCGACAAGGAAAATCCCCAGCACCGCTGCAGCTGGTAGCAAGTCCATCAGCACCCTGGAGAGAGATCTCTATGGATTTCATTGTAGAACTGCCTGAAAATGCTGGAAACACTGTAATTTGGAGCATCACAGACTTGTTCTCCAGACAAGTTCATTTCATTCCATGCCCCAAGATTCCAACTGCAAAGATTTTAGCTAAACTCTTTGTGAAGAACATATATCAATTTCATGGGGCTCCACAATGTATAATTTCAGGCCGAGGGATTCAATTCACTTCTAAGTTCTGGAAGGCTTTTCTGGACCTGATGGGTTCTAGTCAAGGGCTATCATCTTCTCACCATCCTCAAACGAATGGGGGGACAGAGATACTTAACTTAGTTCTAGAACAATACCTGAGATGTTTTATTAATTACCAACAAGACAATTGGGCCGACCTGCTACTCTTTGCTGAGGTTGCCTATAATACACTGCTGTACACTCCAGTACTGGTTTCACTTCATTTCAAGTAGCAAATGGTCAAACCTTTGTTGCCATGCTTGAACTCCCCACCAAAGAACCTAAGATCCCCTCCTTGCAGGAGTGGCTCAAAAAATTGCAAAACACCTGGCCAGTGGTCAGGAAGGCCCCTGGATGAAGCCAGGGAGGCCTATAAAACCCAAGCTGATAAACGGTGGGTAAAGCAGAAACCATATAAAGTTGGAGACTGTGTATTCCTCTCTATGAAATATTTACAGTCTTTGCAACCTTCAAAGAAATTGGGGCCTAAATTTATCAGACCTTTTCCAGTTAAGGGCATTATCAATCCTGTGACTGTTGAACTAGATTTGCCAAAAAATCTATGGAAAAACCACCCTATTTTCCACTGTAGTTTGCTCAAACCAGAGGTTACTTCCAATCTCAGGTCTCCTGCACCCCTGGTGCCAACACTTATCACGGTTGAGGGAGAACAACATTTTGAAATCAAGGACATTTTAGACTGTTTAACACACCATGGGATGACACAGTACCTAGTAGCTTGGAAGACTCTCCCTTCTGCCCAGAATGAATGGGTGATGCTGCACTGCAGAAGGGAGACGGCGGCAGTTAACCAGGGGTGCGTGCGAGACAGTACGGAGTGGCAGCAGTGAGAGGTGTGGCATGTACCAGAGCCTGCCTTCTCCCACCACTGCCCCCACCAGCACAAGGATGGGCGGTACAGCTTTGCTTCCAGAGCTGCTGCCGGCTGGGCCTGACAATGCAAGGATCGCTGCTGTCACCTCCTGCTTCCCTGCATAGCCAGCTCGTCGAGGGGCTCAGAGCAGCAGGAGCAGCAGCAGCCATCACCCCCGTCAGAGCCGCAGATCTGTCAAGGCCCAAGCCAGGCGAGGGGTCCCTTCTGGCCATCCCAGGGCCATTTCTGCCCACACTGATGGGGCTTGTGGAAGGGAGACGGCAGTGGTTCTGATTCCCCCCTGCCAGCCACCCCCTCCAGCCCCCTGCCCGGCAACCCTTCTGCACAATCTTACATGACCATGGTGTGGATGAGAGGCTCGGCCGGTGGGGGGGGTGGCTTTCCTCCACCTAGGCATCCCGACCCTCCCACCCCCCCTAGTCAGACCCCTCACCTTCTCCCAGCCAGGACCTGCTAACCCCTCCACCCTCCTGCACCCACCCCAGTCCAAGACTCCTGTAGCCCCCCCAAGTGTACCCTCCTGCCACTCCCTGCTGGGACCTCCTGCCCCCACCCCAGCTGACCTCCCAAGCAGCCCACCCCAACCAAGATGGAGGGAAGGTGAGGCAGAGAACCTGTTGTTAAATTATTTGAAACCACCACTACCTCCACATATATTGGACTTCTGCTCACATAAACCCTAGCAAACTTCTGCAAACTTGTTATTTGGTGCATGTTGTTAACAAATGTATCTATACCATGTTGTATGCAATTTATTTCTTATATTATGCAATTTTAGAATTATAGAATTAAAATAGAGGATTTGGTCAATACAATATAAGGTTCTGGTAAAACGGGAGCAATTGAAGTAGCTGTATATGAAGGTATTAATTCTTTGGAAGACTTGTTGATAAGCTCCTGAGCCTGTGGAATGTGCTTCCTGGACTTCTTTCTCAGTACCTATTTCTCCTCTGGCATTAGCTCCAAATCTCTTTCTCCACTTTGAGCCACTGTGAATCTATTCATATGTATGGCTTCCTCATAAATTGGGGGAGTCTCTGTTCGAGCAGGATGATGCACTGCTGGCACTCCATTGTGGGAATGAGCTACTGCTAGTATTCGCCTAGCAGCTGGGCTAAACATGGAATGGAGGGCTGAAAGGGAAAATATCAGAAGTATTTAGGTTACAACAAACATTGCAACTACAATTATATCTAATTATATCTAACAGTACAACATTACAACTAAAAATCCAGTAATGATTAAGAATAGAAATTATTCTCATGTGTTGAGTGATTGATTATATACTATTAAAAGAATTCTACAAAAATGCTCACTGAATTTGAGAAACAGTTTTAATTCTTTGCTGAAGAGACCATCCTTTTGAAATTCTGCACAGTACTAATATATTACTGTATAGCTTTTAAAAATAGATAACATGCTATGTAAAATATATTAAAATATTTAAAAATGTTATACAATAATGCTTAACCATAATATCTCAGACTTACTCATAGTATGAAATGACCCTTAGTACAAAACCTAAAAAGTAACAAAGAAAATATTTTATTTTAAAAAATGGAAGAGCAAAAGGATGGATTGAAAGAGGTGAAAAACAGTATTGTATACAGATTGAGCAGACAAAGCAATTAAGAGTTATGAAAGATAAAAAGAAACATATTCAGCCCATCAGAAAGAGCAAACCAGATTCTTTAAAGACCAGACTAAATCTTGAGTCTGTCTTTCCCTGCAAAACTGCTTAAACAAATGAGATTCAAGCAAGATAGGAAGCAAACACAGGGTCATTAAAAAAGGACTCAGATGCCCTATACACTAAGGCTCAAAGTACGTGAAACAAACAGGATGAACTTGAAGTTCTAGTACATGAAGGCAAATACGTTATCATTGCCATTATTGAAACTTGGTGGTATGAAACCCATGACTGTAATGTAGATAGATGAGATAGATAGATAGATAGATAGATAGATAGATAGATAGATAGATAGATAGATAGATAGATAGATAGATAGATAGATAGATAGATCACATTTAAACATACTATATACAACATATGTATAGACCTACACCCTTACATATAAGCAGGGCTTTTTTTGTCATAGAACACACCAGAACAGAGTTCTGGCACCTTTTTTCAACGGATTTTCCAGAGTTGCATTCTTTTCCTATTGTTTTCCTTCCTATCCTCATTTGTTTTTGAAAATGCCCTGCTGGTGGTACAGTGTGAGTGGGGTCCCCCTCGGCGCTGCCTGTCTTCTCTAGGAGGAGCCATGAGATGCTGGAGCACCACAGCCAGAGCGTGTGGCTGGGTCGGACCATATGGCTGGGTCAGGCCATGTGGTGTGGAAGCCAATGTGGCGGTGGGAGACACATAAACATGGAGACCATCTTTCACGAGAGCATGAGTGAGCCTTTTGCCCTCCCTTACAGAAGGTGGGGTGTGAGGTTAAAAAGAGGCAAAGTGAGAGGAAAGAAAGGTGGCTGGCATGGAAGCTTGCCCGACAGCAAAACTTTGCTGTTTCAGTTCCTTGGGTAGTTCAAAGGCTGGGATGTCTATGAAAATCTCTTTTTAGTCTTTTATACTTTATATACAAACTGCAGAGGGGAAGAATAAGAATAAAGCCAATGTCTTGTGATTTGGAGGTATTATTAATAATACTATATATTAATATATTGGTCAGATGTAAAGGTAGACCTACAGTATGAGGTTTAATCAGATCTATTTATTAAATTGGGTTTAACTTAAAGGTAAATTAAAAGTAATCTGTTCAATGACAAAGTTTCAACTTTAATTTGTTTCAAGTCAATATCCATATTAAACTCCAAATGTAAATTTTTCCACCTTGTTTGACAACTTCTTAAAAATAATTCAATCTTCTACAAGCAACCAAATTTTGTTTTATTGGGCCAATTTCATTCCACATAGAAAGCTGACATTTCCACTCATTAAACTAAATGGGTATGCCAGTGGTAAATGTCCCAAAAATTAATAAAATGCCTTCTTGTAATTTAAAGCCACACAGTGCATGGTAACATTAATAGTATTAACTTACCTTGAACAAAATCCTAGTCTTTTAGATACACTAAAAATTGAAGGTTTTTTTTTTCCCAACTGTAAAGGTAAATCTTGTAGGGTAGCCAAGGCGGGTTGTATGACGTATGTGAGTTGCAGCACCTTTTTTTTTTTTTTTTTTTTTTTTTTTTTACAAAAAAGCACTGCATATAAATATTAATCACTGTCCATCTTAAATACATAACAGAAGGAGGAAGGTTTAGAGTTCACAAGGTTATTACTGTATGGAACAAAACTGTGATTGAATCTGGATGTTCTGCTTTGGATACCATGGAGCCTCCTCCCAGAAGGTAACAAAGAAAACAGGTCGTGAAGAGGATGTGTAGTCCCAGACAATCTACAGCTAGAAGGATTTAAATTGTTCAAAATAAACAGACCTAATAAAGGAGGAGATGGAGCTGGGTTATATATATACAAAAATAGCTACACCTCTATAGAAAAGGGGGAAAAACTGATGGAAACCTTCTCTAAAAGGAAGAAGGAAAGACATTGCCAATACTCCAGAAGATAGGCTCAAGATATAGAAGGATATAGAAGGATCTTGACAAACTTGAACACTGGGACCTATCTAACAAAATGAAATTCAAATTCAGAGAAAAGTAAGGTTTTACATTTAGACAAGAAAAACCAAATGCATAGGTACAGAATAGGTGATACCTGGTCAACAGTAGTAACTGCAAAAGGGATCTTGACTCCTAGTGCAGGGCTTTTCAACCTTTTCACCCATTGTACTACTTTTAGGATATGGTAATATCCGAGTATCAACAGTCACCTAGCAAGGTATCAAAAACTTGATGACCCCCCCCAAAAAAGGAAAAAAGTGATAAAGTACAGGTAGTCCTCAACTTACAACAGTTTGCTTAGTGACTGTTCGAAGTTACAACGGCACTGAAAAAAGTGACTTATGAACATTTTTCACACATGACCATTTCAGCATCCCCCGGATCATGTGATTTACATTCGGATGCTTGGCAACTGATTCATATTTATGACAGTCACAGTGTCCCAGGGTCATGTGATTCCCTTTTGCAATCTTCTGACAAGCAAAGTCAATGGGGGAACCAGATTCACTTAACCATCTTTTATATCAGGGTGTCAAACTCAATTTAATTGAGGGCTGCATTAGCATTGTGGTTACTATCGGGAGGGTTCCTTCTTTCCTTTTTCCCTCCCTCCCTGCCTCTCTCCTTCTCATTCCCATCTCCTTCCTTCCTTCTTCCCCTCCTTTTTTCCCTCATTCTCATTCCCATCTCCTTCCTTCCTTCCTCCCCTCATTTCCCTGCCTTTCATTCCCATCTCCTTCCTTCCTTTTTCCCTCCTTCCCTCCCTCCCTCCCTCCCTCCCTGCCTCTCTCCTTCTCCTTCTCCTTTTCATTCTCATTCTCATTCCCATTCCCATCTCCTTCCCTGATCCTGGCGCTTCTGCTGAGCCCTGACAGCTGATTGGTGCTTCTGCAGGACTGTCAGGGATCAGCAGAACACCAGGATCAGCACCAGGCTCCAGCTGATCGGCGCTTCTGTGGGGCTCAGCAGAAGCACCAGGCTCATCACCGGGCTCCAACTGATCGATGCTTCTGTGGGGTTCAGGATCAGCGCCTGGTGCTTCTGCTGAGCCCTGACAGCCCTGCAGAAGTGCCGATCAGTTGGAGCCTGGTGCTGATCCCAGTGCTTCTGCTGAGCCCTGCAGAAGTGCCAATCAGCTGGAGCCTGGCTGTAAGGACCCACTTCAATCCCACATCTTAAGAAAGCAGAACTCTTGGAAACAATTTCTTCCAACAGGAACTTTTATTAAGAGTAGTTGATAGCAGGCATAATAAACAGGATCTGAGGGATTCTTTACAGATCGATACTTTAAAGGATCCCTAAGCAAACCCCACCCCACAGTTCATCCGGATGGTTCGGACCAGCCGATCCCCAGGTGTTAAGTCCATTGTGGGAAAGGGAAGATAACATCGGTCCTGCTCTGTTTGTAGCACGATGTTCCACAGCTCTTCACGCCTCCTTTTGAGACCAGAGAAATAAGCCTCGTTCTGGATGTTTGTATTTCTTCCCGCCGCCCCCCCCCCCTTTCCCTAGCTGCCAGGTTAGGGAGAAGAAAGTTCAGAGAGATGCATAGTGCAGGAGACAATTTATTACATTGTAATGGGCAGCAGACACAGAGGCAATAAACAAAAGGTTACATTGTCGTGAATAGAGGAAGTGAAAGCCATAACCCCGCAGGCATATCCCCCCTCCCCCTTGGGAGTATGACAGAATCCAGGAGAAGGTGAGATTTGGTTTTAGATCAGAGGAGATAGATAGAAATGAAATATAAATGGGTTCTGACACCGGTGCTGATCCTGGCATTTCTGCTGAGCCCTTATAGCCCTGCAACTCTAGCTGTCTCTTGCTCAAGCTTGTGCAGTGCTGCTGCCACTTCAGCTCATTCCCCCTAGTGGACAATCACTCAAATATGAGCCAGCAGTGTGGTGCACTTTCCAAAAAGGCCAACACAGTCCTAGGCTGCATTAATAGAAAGATAGAATCAAGATCATGTGAAGCGTTAATACCATTTTATAATGCCTTGGTAAGATCATACTAGGAATATTGCATCCAGTTTTGGTCGCTACGATATAAAAAATATATTGAGACTCTAGAAAGAATGCAGAGAAGAGCAACAAAGATGATTAGTGAACTGGAGGATAAAATGGTTGCAGGATTTGGGTATGTCTAGTTTAATGAAAAGAAGGACTATGGGTGATATGATAGCACTGTTTCAATATCTGAAGCAGGGGTCCCCAAACTAAGGTCTGCGGCCCAGTACTAGGCTGTGGTCTGTTGGCTTGGCCATTGGGCCACATGAGTGGCTGGCCACTGCACACGTGTGTGCATGCTCACACACCCCATTTGCTCTAGCATTGGGGTGTGGCGCAGGTGCTACAATGCCACAAGTGTCATATAGGCTATAGCGTTGCTGTGAGTGCACACATCCCGCTTGTGCTAGCATTGTATCATTGAGTGGGCGCTAGTGTCGCCCAAGCATTGCACAGGCACTCGTGGCCTGTTGTGTTGCATGTGCACGCAC